GTCGATCAATTATGGGTTGTACTCGATGGGAAGATTCTTTCTGCGGACCATACCATCTCCCTGGAACCATTCGCGCCTGAACTGCTTTGCCGCTCCTTCGGGAGTGTTGCACCATTCCACGGTAATACGATCATTGTTGGTGTCCTAAGGCAGAAGTTATCACAACATATGCGAATCAGTAATCATAATCACTGTTTGAATGGAATTTCTTTTATTGAACGGCTTTTAGCGGTGGTATGAGTTACAGATACATACTCAATAATGTTGAGTATTAGTACGTGTGAGTGTTAAGTGTTAAGCGAACCTTTGAACGTCGGATGGGATCCAAACTCGCATTCCACTCTTTCTGTGGGCGCGTACTGATCATTGCATCACCGGTTTCCTTCTGACATCTTTCTTTCGTGCCAACATACAATAGCGTTGCATAAAAGAGTGATGGCAGAACGAGTATCGGTAGTTCAAAGGTTACACACGCGCCTCCAAAAAGCGTGAAATTGCCATCCACCTTCAAAGTTCTGCACATCGCCTGACATTGTAGGACACAAGGTCAGTAAGTTAGAAAATAAAACACACTTTACGTCCATATTCGAAGGTATCACATGATACAGCCATGAGTGTTGCCTCCTTAGGGTCAAGCACACGCAAGCTGGGTCGATACCAAGACGTTTCATGTTCGTCGTCTTGATCGCCCATCCGATGCGTCGTCCAGAGGCGTTGATGATCTTGATATGGTATGTATGCTTATCGTCGTATGGGGCGTTGAAGACAATCTTCGGGTTCGGCTGGGTGTTGATGTCTCCGGGAGGAATTGAGGACATTTTACTCCTTGTTCTTAATCCGATCAAGCTAACTAGTCGGCTTATATACTTTTTCAATCGTATGCTAATTAGATGTTTACTTTAATCATTTCGATAATCAGCTCTCAGATAAGTAAAACTGATATGCTCTCAGATAAGGAGTATTGATTATTATCTATGACTATTAGAATTAGGTTTTAGGGACGGTGGTTGATGAGACTCCGCGCGGAGTTGATCCCTCTCGCTCTCTCCTTGCCAACACTCTTCGATAGTCAATCAACGAACGCTTCATTCCGTACGAAAGTAGTACGAAATGTTCCATTCTAGCTATACCTGACGTTACAAAGAGATCTGCTCAACCATTATCCCACGGGGATTGTGAAGAAGATGAAATCCTCGAGCAGCGATGAATACACGAAATCTAATCGAATTTAAAGAGTACTACGACAAGCGCTGCTTCAATTTTGGCCACGCGGGCAACCCGCGAACAATTCCCATCCCATGTATAAGGCAATAGTGGAATCAGTGGTTGTAAAAAAATAGTTTAGCTCTGAAGGATCTCACCAGGATAGCTATATATTTTGAGGGCTGCAAATAAGTGTGTACTGTGCGCAATTCATTTATCGGTTTTGTTGATCTTTTCTGTCAAACGGCCTTGATGTAGGTATAATGATGAGCACCGTTGAATAATGATCTTTGTGCCGTAAACAGTTATAAAGTTGAAGCGACGAGCTAGCTACTTTGAGTGTGAAACATGATTCTCATTTTGCTCTAGAAGCGCTCTATACAGGTTGTTTCAAAAACTAGCTTTAGCATGAAAATTCAAAATTCAAGCTGTCGAGTTGTGGCCATTTGATCCTTGTATATTGTTGAATTTGATATCTATTTCTCTAGTGCTTAAACTCAAGAGAAGGCCTGATATATTTGATTTGAAGCACTTGCTCACAATGCTATTCCTGGAGCGATTCCTCGTTCAGTGATGGAATCGTGCTGACGAGATTTGACACTATCGACGACATGGTCTTTCTCTTTTGTACTTGTTTCCAACGATTCTCTAGTTTTCATGTTTGTACCATTCTAATTTTGTAATCATTTTGAATTTATCATTGCAGGCTGATGCTGCTGTATCCATGACGTACACAACCGATGAACCGATTATTTTTAATGGTTGTGGCCAAACATATCTTGATCTTTGTAATCTGATAAAAAGAGCTGTACCTCTAACTTCCTGAAATGTTCACTTCTAAAATGAGTACACAGTTTATCTTTGTTTGCTTGTTTGTTTTTTCGCCATTTGTGACCATTCCTTACTTCTATCTTGTCGCAATGTCTTTATATTCGACTGTTTTTGGAATCTTGCTTAGAATTAAATTTACTTTGCTAAACTAGGTTTTGAGAACCAGTCGAATGGAAAGTTACTGCTATACGTTTTACCAGCCATGAGCAATCGAATGTTGATCACTGCAGTGTCAAGTGGTCTCATCACTTGACGTGAACTGCGACATTTTCGCTGCCGATACCGCAATATGTAGGAGCTCGGTTGAACTAAAATTCATGTGCTAGAGGATGAGGCTTGCTAGAAAGCCGAAATCTTGCCTCGCACTAAAAGTTCCATGCCGAGGTTCATGATTTGGTTCAAATAGGCTACCAGGTTATCTTGTGGTTATTTTTTATGATAACCTATGGGCAGCAAATTGCAAAATTTATCTGCGCACTGTATTAACTAAAATGGCTCAGATAGGTTATTTACGTTCGTGTCTAGAATTTTTGACTAATGAATTGACAAAATCATTATTTGTTCACTTTTTATGGCAAAACTGATGATGCCATAATTATGTGTCCCATAATGTTGAGTGACATAACTTTGAACTCGGATAGGAGTTAAACCCGTGTCTCACCTTTTCTGAGGTCGTTCTGACAACACAACTAGCGTGGTTTCTGTTCTACATCACTCTTTTTTGATAGCTTCTCCACAAGATTCATGGTTTTTGCGTAGCACTCAACCTCATAAAATAGGTATTGGAATTATTTTGTATGGATCTGTAGATTACCTGTGTACTGGATACTCATTTCAACAATTGCTTAAGATAGGAAAAATCTTCTAATTTCGTTTCTAATGTGGACATTCTATCTCCTATTATCTCAAATAAACACATTTTAATTCAAGTAATCTTCTCACTTTACGTGTAGTGATATTTGTTCGACACCGATCACTAAGAGTAAGTGGTGAGCCGTAGGACTAGGGCTTGTGGTGCTGCTGAGGTTCGCGAGAAGTTCGGAACGTGCGTATACCACTAATGATACCTTCACCAGACTTCTGAAAGGCTTAAAACATCGTATCAGGCTCTATAGAATGTCTAATCGAATTCTGACGATCGTCATATGGAAAATTTGACAATACCCAGGCTGTCGTAACAGCCGTAAGCCCTGCAATTGACAATCAGCCACTTTGAGAGAAAGCTATACTGAGTTATTTTTCACTTGAAGGAGCGTGGTAGTTGTTTGGCACCAACTGCCAATAGTAACAGAGATAAACCTCAGGATATCTGGTACTGGTAAAGTATACGAGAAGACCGAAACATGCGCATACTAATAAAGATAACTTTACCAGACCTCTGAAAGGGTTTCAACTTCCTATCAGATTAGATACATTTACGCTCATCTTGAATCACTTTGACGTTTCTTTCTTACATTTTCTTTTCATTGGTTACTTACAACAACAGTGATCGTTTCTGAAAAAATGTCTTTTTTTTTTACTAACCAGCAAACCACAAATGCTCTTCCAGTTACTGAAAGTGGGTTCATCTCCCATGGGCTTTGTCTCAAATGTTGAAAGGAACATTTTAAGGCAATGATAAGTGATAACAATAAGTAATAACACTGTAGAAATTATCTTTAGAATGTGTAAGACCCTAGTACTGAACTCTATCAGCACCTATTTTTGTTTGAGAATTTTCCTTCAGAATGAAGCAGGTCGCTGATTTTACTGTTTTTTTTTTATAAAAAGACTTAGCATCTGAGGAATTTTGACTTTATTTTCCTGGCGACACGTGGAAAGGAATATTACTATTTGTGCAAAAAACAGAAGTGTGCAAATATGTTGTTGCTGACAAACTTATTGAGAAACATCAATGAACAATCCGTAAAAAAGTGTTTGTCCCTCGTTAGTTCGAATACTTTACACTAACACGTGGAAATTGCTTTTGATAGAAAATAAGGTTCGTAAGAAGTGATGCTACTTTGCCTAGAGGAAGTTGTGTCTGATCAGAAGTCTGACCTGAAATTTTCTACTACAATTTTACGTACATTTAGTCATTACGGAGCCATTGAACATTTCGGTTTCGTAAGTACGGAATTTCAGCTCACGGAGATTAGAATGGGTGGACAATTCGATACAAATCTGATACTTATTTGAAGATCTTTTTTCAGTTATCTGATTATCTCCAGAGATCCTACGACCAGCAACTATACAAAACTTTTGAAATTCTTTCTCATAGCAGCATAAAATTTAGTACAACTCCTGCATGTCAGCAGTATGCAATTTAGAACAACTTGTCACAACAATAGACGCAAATCTTCCAAAATATTAACGGTGTACAAATGCCTTTTATTGTTATTGAGAAGCACCGGCGCTGCTCTTTAAACCGTTAGACTCACTGAATTCTCCTTGGTCTAATTCCGTTTTTTTTTTCTTCGAACTACAGTACTTTATCTTCGCGGCGATATATTTCCCAAATTTATAGCAAAATTACAATGTTATAAAGAGCGTCCAGCCTGCGCCAACCGCGTGGCGTGACAGGTACAAAATAAGGTCGTACTTCAGGGTCTGGAAAATTATTCCATCATTTATACTTCAAGGTAACGGTGATATTACATGTGGTAAATCGGTAGAGAACCTTAGCTATTTCTGCAATCATAACTGAATGAACACAAATTCGTATGGAGAGGTTTATGAGTGATAAGAAAATGAGCATAAAAACACTCTATTTATATCGTTTATCTGGAGTGTTTTTTTTAGGCCACGCTCAAATTCCAATATATCTCATAATCATTATTTGAGCGAACATGTCATGTGGTCTGATAATGGGCTCTTGACCAGCCCTTTACTGTATCGGGCTGTACAAGAGCCCATAAAGACCACATGACATGTTCGCTCAAATAATAATTATGAGACTTAAGAGAATCGAGTGGTTAGCAAAATAGGACCTCAGACGGGAGTCGAACCCGCGTTTTATTCATAGCGAAGACGGTGCTACCACTACACCACGGAGGTACATTCGTACCACCACTCATTCTTCAACATCTCTGTTAGCTGTTAATCGCCAACCTTTAACAAGTTTGGTCGAGTATGCGATTTCGCTTTATAAACCCACTTCATAGGAAATTTTCCAGAAAGGGCAAAAAACATTTAGATAAGCAAAGAAAATCACGCGGCTCTCGAATGACGCGCTTATTCGAGGCGGTAGTTGAAATCGCTGAGCGCAGAAATCACTCAGAAATTTTTCACCATTCTAGAAGAATTTCTAGGAATTTTGTAAGAGAATCTTAAAAATAACTTTGTTCTGTCGATCTATAGGCACAAATTTTTTTTTGTTCACATTGCTAATAAACTCGCTACAAAGTTCGAGCGGCGAGCTAATTGATTCGAGTGCGAATCATGATTTTCTTCTTACTCTAACACCGTTCTCTATAGACGTTTCAAAAACTAGCCTTAGTATTGAAATTGTCGAAATTCGGACTATCGAATGACTACCAGTAATCAAAGAATAATACTGAAACTGGTGTTGATCGCTCAAGTGCCAGAACTTATGAAAAGACCTAATATAAACACCTCAGAAGAGTCAATGCCGTTGGATCATTGTTAACACACTCATACATATGAGTCATAATCAAAATGAAAAAAGATATTACCAAGATGAAAAGGTGGTTTATAAAGAAGATAGAATAGTAGATTATATAGAGCCTGGTTAAATTTTACGAGTAGAACGGCTGCTTCGTTACCGACCAATGCTTCGCCGACAAATGGTAGCAGATCAGGCTCGCTGATTCCTATTATCTGAAGTGTACGTGCTTAAGATTTTACAAACGAGTGAGGAATGACAACTTACCTTTGATAATTCTCTCATAAAGGGCTCATGATCTTGCATGCGACCAGCAGTGTCGACGAGGACCACGTCTGTACCACGTTCGGCAGCTATTCCAATCGCAGCAGCTACCATACTGACCGCTTCTTTTCCGCAGCCTTGCACGAACACCTGTATGTAAAGTGATATAAACGTGATGGGGCGATAAAACTAAATTTCTATCACATAGATCATGTATAATTATATAAACTGACAGCATAGACTACGCTGGTAAAGCGAGTTGGGGTTACTACTGAGTCCAACGAAATGTATTTTGCACTGAACTGCGACTTAGTACCTACTACAAGGATACCTGGATGGCCCGTCTTCAGTGGTAGTGCGAGAACCAGCATGGTTCCCATTCGTTTCTCTCCAGCGCAATTGTAGTCCGTGGTGGTGATCTAATTCAAATATAGCGATGTACACGAGGCCTATTACGTGATTCTTAGCTCGTTGCATTTGTAGAGGCAGATGATTGACGTTAGCCATAAACATGTCCTCTCAGCAGACCCATCGTTCGGGTGAATTCCAAGGGCGCTTGCATTCTCTCGAAGTTCTTTCCACTGCGCTTTTCGGGCACATGTGATATGCTCATATGATAAGATCGGTACATCTATGCCTCATTGTGGCATTTATACCTATATCTGCATAGCTCAAAATGAGATAGTTCACAACGATCTAAGCTGCACAAGCCGATTAAACGTTGTAAATGTCGAGTCAGTTTCTTAAGACTTTGCTCAAGCGTCCTGCGAATGGTTCACAGATTGGTTTCTTGACGTAGTTCTAGTATCGGCCAACGTCTCAGTTGCCATGACAGAGCGCTGGAGGCGCATAGAGTCGAAAAGGAGTGCACAGAGCTTAGGTCCGCTATTTGGCTGCCGGTTTGTTTGAGAGGCTCGAACGTGCTCCATGTTGCTTCCTTCTGTGTGATGGCGCATTCATGCCTATTTCCATGTTCATTGAACGCCCACTATACATATACCAGGTAGTCTCGCGATCAGATCCATGTGATTCAATTTCTTAACCGTACCATGGATTCTTCCAAATGAGCTAATACAAACCTGCACCGAGTTAGGATGAAGAGCGCTTCTTATCGCCATGCAACTGCTTTACAGCTCCTGCTCGAAACGTGTCACCAGCAACTATCAACCCACGATTATGATTCTCGCTAAGCCAAAATGTTACCTATTACTCTAAAAATCTACGAACACTTTTATATTATCAAAAAAAAACGCAAGAACCTTAGCAAGATTGGTGATTTTCCAACACCACTGACGCCACAGAAAACTATGACATACTGTCGAATTTCGTGTTTCGCTTCAACTATGTCACGAAGGATATCTACACGACGCTTTGGAGTAAGCAAGTGAAAACCATATATAGATATACCCAGTGATGCAACACTTTTTGCGTCAGGCGGGACTCGAACACGCATCTCACTCTATTCGTGAGCGCGTATACTAACGTGTTGCTAACAGATAGATGCGCTGTAGCATGATCTGGCGTAGAAAGGGCGATGGCAAAACGGGCGTCAGTAGTGCAACAGGTTAGAGCACGCACTCCTGGATACAGTGAGATGCGGGTTCAAGTCCCGCCTGATGCAAGAAATTCTGCACACCACTGAGTATCTATTACATTGTTCACCGCTCAAAGCGGTTGAATAAAAAGAATTCTATTTGAAAATATTTAATGCAATTTGTTAGAATTTTTTTAAACCTTTGAGAGGTCTGTTATGGCATCTCGAGTCCAGACGCACGTTTCGGCTATATCGCGAACCTTGTTTGACCAGAACACAACCTAACACTTTTACCCTACGCATAGTGTAACCTATACGCCTTCGATTCCCTATAGTAGGTGAAGAGTAGCCAAATAGCAAGTGCTAGTGATTAGACGTGCGAAAAAGAACAAATGTACCTCTAGCACTCGAGATGCCGTAACAGACCTCTCAAAGGCTTGTAGAAATTCTAGCAGATTAGATTGGAGTTTCAAGCGAAATCTTGAAATAGTCGACTGAAAGTGTTGGAAACATATAATCAAAGAGTAACTCAAAATTAGTGCTGAACAGAGTAGCAGAGAGATCTCACTTCCATCACTGTGCAGCAAGAAGAGTAAAGAGTACAGAATAAAGTTTTCAGCGTTGATCTTTTGATGACCACGGTCAACAGGCCAGCGGCATTGCTCCGTCGCTTTCTCGTGAGACGCGAGGCCACCACTACAGTACCTGGGTGAGAACTAACGTCGCGCAGGGAGCATCAAAAAGACTCCATAGTCCTCAGAGGGTTGACCAATCCTTAAGAATGCGCCACGTACTCGACTCCATTCGTAGCATCGCTTAAAATGAGTAAATGCATATCCGGCCTTTATTATAATTCGCGGTGATCTCCCAGTGTGTCAAATCGATGCTGCTATCCTCCCATACAAGTCTAAGATTGGCCGACCACGGAAGCACGAAGGGCTTTGTGAGCATTGAGCGCGGGATCGAACCATCAACCATCGTATGATCAATCAGTAAGTTTTGCAGAGCACCTTTAATCGCTGCGTCACATGCGCTCCTGATAGAAGTACATTAGTGAAATCTCAGAGCCTGGTAAACGATTCCTTGACCGCTTCCTTCATTTCGGTGTTAATACGGTTAAATGTACTCAGAACGTTGCCCTCTTCAGTTTACTTCCAACAGATTGGCAGATCTTATCAGCTGGATCGGCAACCACCTTTTTTACTAGAATATATAGATAAGAAACTCAATCATAATCAAGAAATAATCATGTTAACTTAGGAATGAGATTTTACCGCATAGTGTCAGGTATAGGCTCAATATCCTCCGCGGTATTCTTTACATTACTCACTAAATTCTTGAATACACCAAACCAACCACCGCTCCTCTTCCTTGCAACGATTCTTAAAGGCACATGAGAATTTTTCCAGTCTAAATTCATGAGAAAATTGTCCTAGGGCCACTACAACATTGCATGGAATTAAAAAGGCACTTAGAACATATTTGCTCAATAGTCTGTTTCAGTGACTCATAAAGAAAATATCCATGCGACAGCCCACTTTTCTGGAGCACAGTTGACCCTTTCGGGACCTTGGGCGCACTTCACCCGCATCTCTAATCCCTAGTGTGGAAACGCTGGACGGTCTGCTCCAGCTCCTCTACGTCTTTAGCCCCGAACGTGGGAATGCATAGCCTACTTATAACAACATACTATATTTACGACTAACACACCATCGGAACATAACAACAAAGTACAACTGATATAATACATTAACACATTCAATGCGTTCCCACATGCGATTGGAGATGTAAAAGAGGTGGAGCAAACCGTCCAGTGTTGCCAAGTTGGAGATTAGAGATGCGCGGTAGGTGGGCTGACGCTTCCGAAAGTGTTAAAATTTACAACTTACTCTTCGTCATTAACACACTCTTCATCGGGAAATCCTTGCAACTGTACAGATTGAGCAACAAATCTACGATGGAACTTGATCAGTTTGAAAAATCTCCTAATGAAAAGGGAGGAAAAATGGAACAAACTACCTGCTCGTTCACGATTGCGAGATCTTCAACATCACGAATTTAAGCGTTGGTACAAATTTCTAATCCCTAAAACGCAACTGACAGGCTTAGACTGGAAATAACATTCAGAAAACGAAGCAATCCACCTACCTAATCTTTATCACCGGAACAGTCAAGATTTATGAGATTTTCCGCATTTCCAGACAATTCCCATGAACGAGCTTGCTTGCCTTTCTTCTCCATGTCTGCTTCTACACTCCTGAATTCGGCAAAAGGGTGTAGATCGAATATGACATACCAACTACGCTGGCTATTGTAATGACCCTTTCAGTACCGCGCTGATTTTTTATCTGGTACGCTACGCGGTAGATTTGCAATGAGGCGCGTTATCATCACAATGCTTCAGTTTTCAAATGGGATTTAGGTTTTGATCGTCACTTAACGGGCTTTTCCAGCCAATGAAGAATAGATTATGACTGGAGAGACTTCAACAAGCCTAGCAGTTGGAAAGACAACGCCAATGTTTCCCAATAAATAATACAACAATCGAGTTCGGTTCAAAAAATTTTACTTCATATTGCACAGATATTTATATTCTACACTTCCAGTGTACACTGTGGGTCCTTTTAAAAAAGT